TGTTACATGAACAATTGCAAATCAAAAACGCTGCAAAATATCGCGTTACCCATGCATATCGCTCTCACTGGAACTTAATATTCGTTACAGTCCTAAGAGTGTATTGGAAATTAGTTATTCCCATATGGTATGAGAGGAGCTCCTATGAATGCTGCCGCTCAGCAAAAGCCACATGAAATCCATTGTTCTCCTCGATGTGCAATCAAAAAGAAAAATTTCTGGGAAAGTTGGAAGAAGTATAATAATGTTGGAACTCAAATGAAAACAGAAGCCGGAGTTGCTTCAGGATAAATGCAGACGGAGTTCAGGACAAATAGTTGTATGGTCGATGATTATTGTTCAGTGCTTTAGGGCCTTCCACACCAAAGGTTTGAGGAGTTTTGTGATTGAATCAAAGATCCTGTTGCCTAGTAAGATTCCTTGAACAATTATCTGGTACACCCACGCCTGACTCAGTGGACTGCTTTTTACAGAAATATCTACATTGGATAAATAAAACAATATGCTAAACAAAAGGGAAATAAGTGTACAAGAGTTGCTTCCTGTTCTGCTAAGAACTGTTGACTGTAAAATAGTGCTCAGAAAGAACCAGAAAGTGACATTGCCATGTTGTTGTGGTTGAGTAGACTGTTTTTTTTCTTTTTTTAGAAAAAAAAACTTTTTTAAAAAAATGCAATAGATTTATCTAGCAACCTTTGTGGCATTACATGTATAAAAGTATGGAATCCAAAAGAAAGGGTTCCCAAATCTCCATAAAAATAGTGGGTTAATAATAGGAAAGGAAGGGTGAGGGTGGCAAGAGTTGAAAGTGTGAGATAATGAAAATAAAATGTTAGTTGTTCAAGAGAGAATTTGTACTGAGGGACCTACAAACTGCAAGGCAGTTAGGTCAGTCATAAGGCAGCATTCAAATAAAACTATCAGTAGTTCAATTGGGTACTAGCATCGAGGGTCCACACTTTCACACTCTTATTTTATTTTCTTATATATCTACAAGGTATTCCTTTGACCTGCAGATCGTAGGTCAAATTTTTCTTAACTTAACATAATTACACTGGAAATAAGATGAAAATAAAGAAAAACAATGCAAAAAAAAGACAAAAAGATGAACAAGAAAAAAAAGGAAAATGAAAGATTTTCATTGTAAAGGACTCCATAAAGGAATCTTTAGTCTTTAGAAAGTTGGGAAGCCCTTTTTGCTTGTTTGTTTATTTGTTTGTTTGTTTTTTTTAAAGATATATTCAATGTATCAGTGGATTTTGGAGGCCCATACCCTGATGGACGCTACAACTTAGTAATCATCGACAAGAGAACCCGATAGCCAGTTGCAGAACGAGTACCATCAACATCATTCCAAGTCAACAAAGGAAAGCTGAAACATGTGTTTGCTACTTATGGAACCCCAAGAAGAGTAGAGACAGACAACGGACCACCGTTCAATTCCAAACAGTTCAAAGACTTTGCCAGAGAAGAAGGATTTGAGCATCACAATGTGACACCTCTCCACCCAAGAGCTAACGGGGAAGTGGAAACATTAATGGAGACGATAAACAAAACTGAACGAAGAGCTCATCTACAGGGTAAAGATAAACTGAGAAGCCAAAATGCAATTCATGACATGCTGACTGCAGACAGACTGACACCCCACCCAGCAACAGGAACCTCACCATACGAACCGATAGAGGAACATTCATCAGGACCAAATTAGATTACTCAACACCCAACCAGCAATCATCCGAAGAAGATGAAGAGATGAATGTTCCTTGTGCAAGGTCTGTCTCTAAGGGAGATGGTGAAATTGAAAGTATCCGACTCTACACACCACTGCACTCCTAAGGCGCGTTCCATGGGTAGGGGTTCGCGACGGATATCCAGGTCTTTGATGCCCTCTGCTCTATCGGATACTGGGATCTGCTGGATAACTTCCTTTCTGTTGGACGTGAACTTCTGTAGGTTAAAGCCACCTCGTTTACACATTTCTTTGATGTCCTTCACCAATTCGACTGCCTCTTACACTGATGCCACAGACTTCAATCCGTCGTCCACGTAAAAGTCGCGCGGAGAAAATCTGCGGCCGCGGAACCGACAGCTGCTTCATTGTCATCAGCTGTGGCCTTGAGGGCAAAGTTGGAGCAACCTGGTGATGATGTAGCTCAGAAGAGATGGACAGTCATTCGGTACTCTGGAGGCTCTCTCGATGTATCGCCGTTTTCCCACCAAAGGAAACGCAGAAGGTCTCTGTCCTCTGGTGGTACTCTAACTGGATAAAACATCGCTGCTATGTCGCACATGAGTGCGATCGGCTCTCGACGGAATCTGCAGAGAACGCCATTAACTTATAGGCAAATGATACTTCACAGGTTTAACTTTATGTAGCTTTCACTTGTGTCTACATTAAATATATTTTCAAAAAAAGCTACATTATTCTGAGGCTAGTACAGGATTTTTAAAATTAGAGAGGAAACAAGCCACTGTCCATATTTGGTTGACTGTCCCAAACAGAGTCACAGGAATATCTGATTGAAAGATTATAAAATTTCTAATCTTTCCAATTGCCCTCTCCACATGCTTTGCGATTGTTTGTGTTTTGATCACATCATCCTCCTGAAAGCCAACCTGATCTCATAGGAATGGGGGGATATTTAGCTGCAGTTCAAGTTTTTGTAGATCATCCTTTATGTCAAAGCCTTTATCAGCCATGATACAATCCTTCTTTCTAATTTCTCCCACTTTAAGCTTTTTCTTAAGGACATCAAGTAATCCAGATCTTCAGACAATTTCTTTGTCACTGTTTGACCCTTCATAAAGTTGAGATACAAATACAACTCCACCATTTGGATCAACAGCAATAAGAGACTTGAATGTAGTATGTGATTTGTAGTTACTGTAGCTCTCACTGTGCTTTTGGAGTGCACTAGGCACAAATCTTAAGTTCTGTAGCATCTATAATTAAAATATTATTTGGGTACTGCTCTATAAATTCTTTTGGTGAGTTTTTTTAAAATGATATCCCAGTGAGGCCACACTTTTAAACAACCAATTACAATGTACAAGTAATTAAACCAGGTAATAAGTATGCAAGCAGTGGTGCTTTCTGATACACAAAATCTTTCTGAAAAATCAAGGTTCGTAAGTCCCATCCTCCGTTTCATTAGTGTCATAAGATATTCATCTTCAACAGATAGTTTATGAACACTTCTGGTTAAAACTTTTTTCGTGTCACACTTATCTTCCTCATGATCATTATCAGTATTGTCCCTGTCCTCGTCAAAAAGCGTTTCTGTGTCAATATTACGAGATTTGGCTGCATAAGTGCCCAAGTAAATCAGTCTTTTCTCGTCTAATCAAGGCAATAAAAACAACAAGCTGTTCTTAAAATCTGCGTAATTGTTGAAACTCGTATAATGTCTCAATAGCTTCTCTTCTTTCCTTGAAGTAGTACATTTTGACAAGAAGTGCACGGCTTAAAATCTGTGCGCATGGGATTCTTTTAGTAGAGTTATCTAAGCAACAAAAGTCGTCCTCAAACCTTTGAGTTTTTCTGGAAATTCCCACGATTCCTGACACAATGTCGCCTTCGCCTTCAGAAGCAGTGTCAGTCGCTTCGTCTTGCTCTTGTCGTGTAGAATTTAACTTTTCTACTGCTGATCGTCTTGGAAGTTGAGAGGTGGTTTCTACTCGAGTCCAAGCAAGGAATCAAGGTACAGCATTCTTCTTAAGTCGGCGTTTCTTTGAAAAAGGATTAATAAAATCTTCAGGCAAAAATTGTTTGCTACATACAGCTGTTTTGAGAAAGGTTGTCCAATAAAAGTATTAAAGCTTACGCGACAATACCGAAAGGCATCATGGGTTGTAGTAGATCACTGTTTCATCGTCAAGTTCAGGAGTTTTCAGCGCGATGGAAGGTGGAACCATGAATATCTGTGTGCGTGTGTTAAAAGAAACAAATAAGAGTAGGTACGACACCTATTCAGTAAAGGGCGTGCCCTCATGTAAAAATGTGTTCACTTTAAAGCAATAACTCCTCGAGAACTGCACAGCGGAAATCGCTCATGCGTCCGACTCAACATTCCAAATTTGGTACTACGCCGATGGAAAGAAAAAGCACTCTATATCATCGGAGATCCAGCTTGCTGAGGCGTTATCCTTGGAAAAGAACGGCATCGTAACGTTGTAGGTGGACCCACATAAAGACCCTTCAAGAGTTCCTCCAGGAAAAAAGAGGAAAGGTATTGTTAAAAAACTCTATAAAACAAACCACGTTCTGCCGCACTTGAAGCTCGACATTCAGGGTTTTCTTTTTTTTCACTGTCATTATCATTTTCTAATATTAGCTAAACCCAACTGCAATACTGCGCTGAGTGAAAGTGAAGAAGATGATGACGAAAAAAGAGAGAGTAGCTATGACGCTTACTTATTGAGACTGCGAAAAAAACACAACCTTCCAGAATTCAAGTTACGATGCTGGGCACGAATGATGGTGAGCCAAATTTAAATTTCCCGCGGATCACTTCCAGTCAGCTGCGACAAATTTAATCCCCATTATTAGAACACAACATTTTAATTTTGTAACGTTGTTGAAATATTAACATTTACTCTAAAAGTAGGAGTTGAAGAAATGTGACAACTATTCATATAAATTTTGGACGAACGCATAAAAGTAGCTCGAGCTGCACGTAGAGTAACGCACGCATTATCCTGCACTGAAACAAAGCAAATATAATATAATAAAAAGTAATTACATTTCTCTTGCTGCGTTAACTTACTTATCTCCGATTTTCCTGAAAACATTCCTTGATACCTACTGTACTTACTATTTTACGACTTTTGAAGCAAACTTCAATTTATTAACTGCCGCTCATAACACTTGGAGCTCATTAGGGTGGCAATCAAAATACAGGTATTGGTGTTGTTTTTTGTTTCAGGTAAACAGAACCCACGACGACGAAGACAATCCCCCTGACGTTCCATTTTTTATTGAGAAGGCGAGAGGTTCTGTTAAACACACCCAACCATCCAGCAATGAAGTCACCAGGAATTCTACGGACTTTGAAAAAAAGGTTGGCATCTTAACATTTATCCTTCAACTGGATTTTTTTTGTACCTGCGTGTATTCAGTTTTAATTAATCAGCTGATTTATTTTTGGTTTAGACACGTATCCGTAGTGCCATCCTTCAGCAGTTGAAGGACCTCAAGAGTTTGAAAGACGATGGTGTTCTTGACGAAAACGAGTTTTCCTCACAAAAGGACAAGCTGTTGACAAAACTAATTGAAGACAAATTCAGAATTTACATGAATAGTAACTGTTGTAAAAAAAAAGTCATTAAAAATACTCTGAATGTCGAATATAGCTTTTGATTTCTTCATCTGTAACTTGAAGAAACGCTTCTTCAACCATAAGTTCTGGATCCATGCAAAATTGCCAGGCTACATCGTTTTCCCTGACCCAGCTCTTTACTTGTGCAAAAAGTTCCTCACACGGCATGAAGTCAGGGCTGTGGGGCGGAAGAAAAAGAACCGTGAATCGCTCCCGTTGCATTAATTGCGTCAATCGCTCCTTGCGTGCGGAGGATAGCCGCATTATCTAAAAGACAAATAAGAAGGGAAGAAATGAATTTATGGAGGTGGGCTATCTATAGTGATGTTTTTAACAGAGAATTTGGAGAAGGGTGGAAACAGTTATTTTAGAGTCCAATCAAAATCCTAATGTTACCAAAGATTCTCATGTACCCATTATGACCACTGATCGCGGGTTGATTCCATTAAATGGAAGCAAGTTGGGGCACAGCTTTTCATCCACAAAGCCTTCAAATGTTGCTCCATTGACGTTCCCGTGATAAAGGCCAAGATCAATCATTCCTTCCGTACAAATAATAGGGATGGCAGTTATGCGCGGTCCCTAGTTCTGGGCCATACGTCTCACCTCAGCTTTTTTACTGATCGGGCTATAACCATTTGTACGTTTAAGTCTTTTGTCCTGATAAAATAAAACAAAAACAAAACAAAAACGAAGTGAGACCACTAAGCGATCAGGGTTAAATGATAGTAAAACAGAGGAGGAAATGTTGTGTTAGACTGTTAGACAACAAACAAACACATACAAATCCGCTTTCATCCAAGAACATCAACATCTCAGGATCCAGGAGACAAACATTAGACCTAAAAAGTACTCTGCCTGCTTGAGATCTTTGAAGGGCAATTGTTGTCAGCTTTAAAATAAGTGATTATGATAATAATAATAATAATCAAACATGTTTTTTTCTTAAATTTACATAAGCAGGAAAAAAGAAAAGCAGCACTGACAACAAATATTTGACAAACCTTTTTTCGGCTAAAACATTTCCGTTTCAAATACAGCAATATGCTCGAAAGAACTCGTTCTGACCCTGTCTCTTCGTAGATATTCTGTGCAATTTCTGAGAGGGTTTTTTCCGGGTGGTCAAGTACCGTTTCCATCGTTACAAACTGCACGTGCGGATGCATAAGAAAACTGTTTAACGGTCGTCCCGAAGTCTCTGCTTTCACCACAGGGGGCCCATACAATCTGTTTGTGTAGCCGACCGTTGTTTCGTAGTGAATGTACCAGATTTACCGTTTGCCTCACCTAGAGTGATATATTGCTGACTATGTACATAAATCATTGATAAATAAACGTTGAATTACTTTACCTGTGGTTTATAGTCGTCCTTTTGCCTCAAAAATGTTTTTTTCAGAGCGATTTTGAATAAGTCTGATTTCGTCGTTAATGTAATGCATTAAAGAAAAACCAAACGGTAAATCTGGTACATTCACTATAAAACAACGGTCAGCTACACAGACAGATTGTATGGGCCCCCTGTGCTTTCACTTCACCAGAATTTAGGCATTTTGATACTTAGCGAAGAATGGTTTTCGGCCGAGACATGTACAAAGCAGCCGCTACCTCGTCAACGCTATATCCTAAAAACTCTTTCATCCATAATGCCTGCCCTCTCAAGTCTTCGCTGTACGGTCGAGGCATTGTTCTGAGATTTTCTTGAGATTTATTGGATGTTTCCCAGACTACCTTTCGGCATTGTCGCGTACGCTTTTATGCTTTGTTTGGACAACCTTTGTCGAAACAGCTGTATCTTTGTGTACAGTGTTGGATCGAAGTGCTTGGGATGTCTTCGCATTTTTGTGATCCATAGTGACAACAATTTCTTTTGATTGTCAAGAAGTGGAAGACCATGGAAAGAAAGGTCGCTATTTTTCTCAGAACTATTTTTAGAGCCTCCTGAACAGCAATAATGTGGCATTTTTCGCTACGCTAATTTTCCCGCCATGTTCGCCGCCATGTTTGCTTTGATCCTGGTACCCAATTCAGAACACGTGATCCATGTTCGCACGAAAGCCGATTAGGTGTATTACCCTTGACTGCTTCCACTCTTCCAATGAAGACCGCCTCCCGGTTAGCTCAATGGATAGAGCGCTGGACTGTTGTGCGGGAGGTCGAGGGTTCGAGTCCCGGCCGGACCAACACTCAAGGTCTTAAAATAATTAAGAAGAACTTGCTACCTTTCTATAACATCAAGAAATGGTTAGATATTCTAGTCTTCTCGGATAGGGACGAATAAATGGAGGTCCCGCCTCCTGCAGGGTTGGGGCAGGAGACGTTAATTTCCCACTCACGAGATTACTGTATGATGGATGTCCTCCCCTGGGGTGGGATGGGTGGGTTAGGACAGCAAGTCCACATCAGCCATTACAGCTGCCAATTAATCAACCGCTTAAACAAATAAATGAACTTCAACTTCAAGCACCCTCCACCTACAGCTCCTGTACCCTTGAGTAGTCCATAAGCACCCTCTGTAACCATACAACTTTGTTTAAGTGGTAATTGAAGTTATCGGTATATTGCTGGGACGTCAGAACTACATTAGTGAATGATTTAGGCTGGCATTATAGGTTCTTCCATCACAGTTTGCCAAATAAGGAAGGGTGCAATACAGTTCAAGATGAAATTAAATGTTTTCTGGGGTACTCTGAAGGTTTTCTTAAACCTTACATCTGAATTGGTATTGCAAACATTTTCCCACCACCAAGTATTTCTTTTCAACCCACCAAAAGCACAAAATGGACAAAGAACTGTGATATCCTTTTGGAAATCAGCAATAATAGATGGAAGCCAAAATCAAAAATGGCTTTCTCCTGGCAGTGAGGTTGTTTCATGCTAACTGCATCAGAAGTCACCTTCGTCTACCATGCTTTATCCCACTTGAAAGAAAAACAAGCACTTCATTTCCACAATTTGTCTTTCCCACATTTTCCCCCCATTCTGGTAAGCAATAACCGCTGACGACCAAAGTGTCATGTTCACTTTTGCAACTAAGTTTAAAACAATGACGTTTAACATTTAAATCAACAACCAAACTTAATTATTTGTAAAGCTAAACATGGTTGTAAAATTACCCATTCACACCGCACTGGCTGTTGAACTAAACACCTCTAAAACCTGTCTAACTAAACTACCTCTGCAAGGTAGTTTAAACCCTGTCTAACCAACATGGCGGAGGAAAGAGAGGATAAAAAATGGGAAAGAACATGGGAGAAAGAAGAAACAGTAATTCTGTTGGAGAAGTGGGGGAGGACAATATTCAGCCACGTCTAAAAAATGTATTCACAAAATGCCTATTTGGCAAGAGATAAGCAATTTTCTAAGCGCCTCTGGGTATTACGACTGGGATTGCGACTCCTGCAAAACAAGAATCCACACATTAATCTCAGCCTACAGGGCTACAAAGATGCCTTGTCAAGGTCCGGCAATGCTACTCTGAAAAAGAAGGCGCCGTTCTTTGATGAAATTCACAAAATTTTATCTGACAAGCCAGCTACCAGACCGGTTATCATCCTAAGCTCAACCTCTCTGGAAAGTGTTCAAAGCAAGGAGACAGAGCTGACGAACAGTGAAAGGAGCCAACAACCCAGCTGCAGTTATCCGACCTTGGAAAAAGAAAAACGAAAGAAAGCCGAGGAGAAGCATCTCTGTTGTAAGTTTGTTGTTGTTTCCATGTTAATAAGAAAAATGTTACGTAGTTTGCCACCTGACCATTGTTACGCAATAAATGTCACATAAAAATAAAAAACCGACAAGTTGGCGCCTTTGTTGTTTTCGGACATCCATGAAAGGCAACGTAAACTATGTACAACTGCAGTCTTCTGAACTTGATTCTTGACCTCAAACCACAGGCTACAGACCTCTAGTTTCACGAAATAACCGAGGAATTTGACAAGGAGACCATGGAGTAATACTGAGGATCAGGAAACGTTTAAACTGCTTTTCACGACCACGGGGCTATAATTTAAGTTCTGTTCCATCTTGACAAGTTTATGATGTTATAGTGACAAAGCTTGAGCACACGATTGCATCTCGCTCGTCTGACTGGGCATACATTAATATTTTTCGATTCCTGTCTTTTTATCGGTATAGTCATTTTCAGAGCTTGTGTATTTTGGATGTTTCACAAGAAGTTTGCATTTTTTCGTTACGAGTAGTTGTTTTCAGTTACAGCTACAGCCTGCCAAAATGCCGTAAACTTACTTGCATCACAAAGGGCATTTGAGCTTAATCAACGGCTGTCTTGCCTTGAAATTTGCTACTTGCTTTCCATGTAATCTTCTAAGTACTTTCCAAATGTTTGCATGCAATTTTTACCATCCTGTTTATTGTTGTAGCCAATTACAAAAAAACAGCACAGACAAGAAGAAAGACCACCCAACGGAATGTGTTGAAGAAAATTGATGACTCCTTGAAGTCATTTATAGAATACCAGCAGCCAGCTGACAGGCTTTTACCTGAGGCCTAAATGGAAAGGGAAAGGAGAGAAGAAGAGAGAGAAGCGAAGAGAAGGAAAGAGGACCAAGAGTTCTTCCTGAAGTTGGCCAAAGTGCTGAAGAATTGAAGTCAAGTTTGTACTTAAATTCTAAACTTAATGACAGACTTGAAAGTTTGTGTTGAAAAAATTCTTTGCACCTGTTCGAAACGTGTTCCGCCTTTTGCACTTTTTTTAAGCCAAATTCTGACTTTTTATAGGCTGTAAAAGTCATAAAATGTAGCAGTCATCTCTCATACGACCAAACTAGTTAGGAGCATGGGTCTATTCTCAATTTGACATTAGAAAGTTACTGATTTGCATCACAGTAAGTCAAACATGCATGCAAAGTTGTTTGTGACATCAAATCAAGAATAGACCCATGCCCTTTACCAGCTCAGTCATGTGACAAATTATGCTTAGTTTATCATAAGTTTTGAAGCCCATAAAGAAGTACAAAACTGGAGATAACGGTTAATTGTTTTAAGAATAGGTGCAAAGTTTTATAATAATTGAAAAATGTATTTTGGGGTAAGGTGCACGAAGCATTTTCACAGAAAACTAGAAAGCCTTTAATAGCCTAACACTGTGCCATGTAATAGCTTTTTAAATTTTTTTTCACAGTTTTTATAAAAGTCATGTATTGCAAAAATGTCATGCTACTACTGGTAATTTTGTGACCAGAGCAAATAAGGTTATGTATCGTAACTTTTCTACTGCATTTATTTTCGCATGCATGTCAACCACATTTTTTTGCAGAGGTTTTTTAATAAACATACCTACCAGAAGGACGCCAGTGATTTATTAAAGTTGAAAGGGTACTGTCACATCATAGTTTACAACAAAATTTTCTCTGATTCTTATTGGTTTAAATTGTTCACGTGATGTGATACTATTCATCTGTGGAGAGACACTATCAGCCCATAGTGCCCGCCCACAGAAAATACCCGGATGGATAGTGCCCGTCCACGGAAAATACCTGGATTGATAGTACTCATCCGTGAAAAGTTTTGAATAGTTTGACGGCCGCGAAGTTAGGCAGATCGGAAAAACAGTGACTTTTCAATTCTGACAGGTATAACGTATTATTTAGCCAATGTACGGTTGCGAATTATTGACATTTGTGACAAGCTGTAGGCGCGGAAGAAAATTTAGTGGTCAACAATAAAGACAATAAAGTGTTTATGCCTCGGAACTATCGGTCTGATAGTTGCCCCTTGGAAATTTGATGTTCTTAAAACTAGCATATTTGTTTTAAGAACATCACATTTCCGCGGGGCAACTATCAGCTGATAGTTCCTCGACAGAAACACTCTATTGATTAATTAGTGTCTGTCTGAGGAAAATACCCAGATGGATAGTACTGGTCTGTGAAAATTTTCTGTAAACAAGTGAGCAAGTGTTGCTTTAATTTATTATCGAGTACAAGACAAAAGTCAGGTGTATGCTTTATCAAATGCAATGCAATTGGGATAGCTATATTTCTCTCATTGGTTTTGCACTTTTTGCTTTGAAAAGGATTGCAGGGCTACTTTTTTTTCTCAGAGTCTCAGAGGCTTGGAAGCATAGCTCATAGTAATTTTTAAGAGCACCTCCCCGTGGAGGGCCTAGGGACAATGAAATTTCCTCAGACTGTACCTTTTAAATATCATGAAATTTCATTTATAGAGTCAAAATTCAGCAACATTTCACCAAATAAATCATGTACACGTTAAACATGTCTGAGCAATGTTTAATGAAGCAATGTTATCCTCAGCTCTTCTAGAAAATTGCAAAATCTATGGGGGGGGATGTAGTATTGAATACGGCCCCCAGTAATTTAGTAAGCATGGAACCTGAAATAACAATCTGTTAATTAAACATCCCCAATTAAAACAACTCTAATAATTTAACATCTGCTTTTTAGTGAAGAACAATTATGCCAAAAATTTGCCCAGTTCAATTTCCATAAACCACTGAAGTAGTTGCATTTTGTGGAATCCTTACATTTAGTAGAAACAGTGCAAACAAAAAAGAAACATTAGACTAGTAATGCATGCTTTATAGGAATGCTTTATAGGAGACAAAACTGGTCTATGAAATAAAATTCTTGAGGGGATTGCTTATATCGATTGCCTCCCTGTCTTGTTTTTCTTCTCTGTCACATGGTTGGATGTTCAGGTGTAATTGCACCCCCTCTAGCCATTCTTCATCAAATTCTTCTTTCATAACCTCACCATAGTTATGAAGAACACAACAAGCTGTGACTGTTGTGGTTGCACTTTCAACAGACTGATCAAGCCTTCTTCCTAGGGATCTAAACCGTCCCTTCAGTCTTCCAAACGCATTTTCCACAACCACCCTTGTTTTGCTGTGTGCTGTATTAAACGCCACCTCCTCATTGTTAAGGTTTCCCCGGTCAGTAAAAGGCCTCATTAACCAGTTAGTGAGTCCATAGGCTGAATCACCAAGAATGGCGAGTGGCACCACAACGTTGGTCATAACTTTGCTTAATCCCATGGGAAGAAACGTTCGTGTGCAGCAGGCATCCTAGAGAGGGGAATTCTTAAAAACACGAGAATCATGAACCTTTCCAGGCCAGCCAACATACACATCTCTAAAAAGATAATCAATATTCACCAAACCTTGAAGGATTACTGAATAAAATCCTTTGCGATTTACATAATCTGCAGGGTTTTCATTCGGTGCCAAAATTGCAACGTGACATCCATCGAGTGCACCCACTACCTGGGGAAATCCCGCACGCTTGAAGAAAGCCACAACTTCCGTTTCAATGTCTTGGCGAGTAACGGACAAGTGAATAAGTCTCTTGAATAAAAATTCAACAATGGCACTACATACCTCCAGCACGATTGGACAAACTGTTGATTTGCCCACACCAAAGAGGTTTGACACAGCCCTATAACTGGCCGTGTCTGCAAGCCTGTACAATGTTATCGCAACTCGCTCGCGAACAGATATCACTTTGCGATATTTTGTATCCCATCTTTCAACAAAAGGAGCCAGTTCTTCACAAAGTTTTTCGAATGTGACCTGGGACATTCTTAGCTCCCGACCCAGACGTTGGCGGTCCATTGGTCCTCAGCCATACACCAAAATGTCTTTGCCCTTCGTTTGACCCAAATTTCCCTGACCGGCAACTGTTGAAGGTAAGCGATCAAATTTACGAAGAACAAAAACCAAACACGTCTTTTCCTCCTTGTGTACCGAATTCTTGCGATAACAGCTCGGTTTTTTTGTACTCTACTTCTCTGTGTAAATAACAGCAACATTGTGTCAGCCATTTTGTTTTTGTTGTAGATGTTTGCATGATCGATAGCGGACATGAGATTTGCTTCACGGGTCTCTCGGTAAGGAAACATTTGGTTCACGCAAGCCAGGTGAATTGAAGCGCACTAAGAATGCATGGAATTAAGCATGTTTCCTCTGTGAGAACGACTTCTACAGCAAAACATGGTTAACTAAACCCCGTTTTATTTAAAAGTGTTTAGGTAAACTTGTTTAACTGGTGTGAAGGGTGTATAAGATTTGTAGATTTAGTTGAAAATAGTCCAATGTTGGCTGAAGGATGATTTCTTACAATATGTATGGGGTTTAGAGCTATTCAGGATTTATTTTATTTAAGATCAACCCAGCACTGAAACTAAGTGCTCTTTGGTCATTGTTAAATATAACACTTCATTATGAAAAAACAAGTTTCAAGAATTAAGTAAGGGTAAGGGTACTACAGGAGACTACTACTTGAAATAAACAAAGATTAATTCTCCTTGATAGAAGGTCAACTGTGAGACCTCATTGTCTTCAAATTTGTTCATACTGATTGACTTCTAGGACCAAAGTAACATTCACATAGGCCTAAAAATGCAAGAAAATTCATCTGTGAGAGTCTGTTATCCTAAACTACCCTCTTATACCTAAAATTATTGAAACCCTATTAGATCCCTATTAGATGATGGCTGCAGGGGCTGTGCTCTATGTACTTCTTAATTCATTTAATATTTTTTCATACACGATATGACTTAATCTTATTCTTAAGTAGGTAATATTCTTTGTAAATAATTTTTACCCATTTTATTTGTGTCCCCACATTAGTATGGGATATCTCCCAAACTAGAAGGTTCTTTGACGCGTTAATAAAGTTTCTATCTATCTACCCTGTAATATCATAACATTTAATAAGGCAGCTCTCAAGTGATTTTGCATCTTGAAAGAGATTGACCCTCAGATAAACTTTTCTTCTAACTACTGTGACCTTACCAGACCACGGAGGCCCTCCCCAGGCCTGCACACATGACAGGAGTGCACACACGAAAAGAGCTGTACAACACCAGTGCCAGAAACTCAGACAAAATAACCCTGGAAATAAAGACTATTTCAAATACCTAACTAATAATGTTCTTGACAGTTTTTCACAGTGAGGTCAGAGCCATCTATGTTACTTTGTGAACATTATACTTTCGTATGCCTTATCAGGTGGATTACAGAATGTTTGTCCTTTGTTGATATTCAGAAGCTTTAAGATAGTTGCTACCAAAACTGTTGTGTTATGAAAGTTTTAAGTTGCTTTGGGATGACCCAAATATGCTTTAAATTACAGTTTCTCAATCTACCCTGTCAGGCAAGAGTCTTATCTCTCAAGAAGAGGGTCCTCAAATGAGACAAGAGTATTGACTCCTAAAGAAAAGTCACCCAAGACCATCCATACTAACCATGCAGAGTGTACATGTCTTTCAAAAAGTAGTTTAAGTTAAAAGCTGCACTCAGATGGCATAGATCACACTTGATGCCAAATGGGAAAGATTACCATCTTGAAAAGAAGGCAGAGGAAGTTTGTATAAAACTAAGAATCTTGCAAGATGTGTTGCCTCCCAGATAAAAAGGTCATACTGATTGAGCTTCATTGGGGTGTTATTAGACAAGACACTTGATAACGTAGTGTGCCCACAACTCCTACCTATTTCCTAAGGAGCTATTTTGGAAAAAATCCTTATGTATGCACGGCTGTGCACCCCTAAGATGACCTGTGCAGTTTCACTTCACCTGTGTGGATGTGTAACGTTAAAAGACTCTGATTAAGTACAAGTTCTACAAAAGCAAATGGCTTTTACGGTGGCTGAACACAGTTTTCACGCACGCTTTTGATGATGCAATTCAGTGCATGCACAAGGATTGCAAAAAGAAGCAGGGATGGCGTAGTGGTGAGAGCACTCGTCTCCCACCAATGTGGCCCGGGTTTGATTCCCGGACCCAACGGCATAAGTGGGTTGAGTTTGTGTTGGTTCTCTTCTCTCTTCGAGGGTTTTTCTCCGGGTTCTCCGGTTTTCCTCCCTCACCAAAAACCAACATACAGTTGATTCCTGCTTGCTGTAAGCTGTGCTCCAAGGTCACACATGGACCGTATAGCGGCTGCCATAGGCGCCACTCTAAGCTTTTGGTTCGACCTTGTTGAGCTGCGTCGTTGCTGTACTTTACAACGGCGATTAGCAGGGACAATTGAAAAACAAACATGCCGTCAATAGAGTGGTCTTTTTATTTACTTGACACGTACCTGCACTATCTGTGCTATTTCTCTCTATAGCTGACATAAGTATTGATGGCTTTAATCTTTTTTTACAAAGATATGTTAGAAAAGGAAAGGTAATGGTGCAAAGAACCCAGAAATTCTCACTTTATTCATTGTTACCGGAAGAACCCAGTTAAATGCAGCACAGGCGTAGTAAGTCGAAAAATTAAGATTGAATGGAAAATTGCTTTCTTGGAAACACACCTACTTCCTGAGAACCACACATCTGAATTTCATGAAATTTAGCACAAAAATACTTTAGGAAATAAGTAACTGGAGTATTAAAAAAAAATTAATTTTAACATGGGAAATTCTAGATAACCCAGTGAACGCTCAACAGGGGATCACTACAGTCACACTAAGTGAAGCGTACCCCTCAGGATTACATTAATGATTTGATTATTTGAATATTGAACCCGCTAATCGTTTCAGGAGCACAATAACGAATTCAATATTTGAACATGGAACCCGCTAACCGTTGCAAGAATGCAATAATGGATTGGTTATTTGAATATTGAACGTGATAGCCATATTCATTTTGAAAAGGTGCGGATCTCATTGTTCAAATCAGAAGGTCATTTCTGATTGGATTATGCAAACACGTGATGATGGATCGGAACTATTTCAACATGGCGTCAAACATGGCCGGAAAGGTGAGTTCGAGTGTTGTGTAGAACTTCTTGTAAATGTTGTAGATGGAATGGTATTGAGAGCTTTTTTCGACTATTTACATCTTGACAAACTTGTAGAAATTCTTGTGTGTATTCATGGTCGAAAAAAATAGTTCATGGGCGAAGCCATCGCAAGACTTTTCTATTTCGTAAACATTTGCGATCGACTGTTTTCGCAGTGTTTTTACTGTGCAGTTTGTTCATTTTCAGGATTCCACGTCAAATAGAACAATCTTATTGGACTTTAGAGGATTAAAAAAATTATGTACTGTCAACAGTGATTAAAATGATAAAGTCTCGTTAGTCGAACGCGTTTTTCAAACAAATCTACAGTCATTATCCGACTCTTTGGCACACACTATTGTATCACTGCAGCGGTATGATTCAGAGTGGGACGACCTTGTTGATATCGAAATGACTCAAATCAAACACCTTGTTCACATGGTCCAATCAGAAATGGATTTCTGATTTGAACATTCATCCGCACCTTTTCAAAACGGATACGGCTATCGGGTTCAATATTCAAATAATCAATCCATTATTGCATTTGAGAAATGGCTAGCAGGTTCAATAATCAAATAATCAATTCAGTATTGCATTCTTGACTGACTGGCGGGTTCAATGTCCAAATGATCAATTCATTAATGTAATCTTGAGGGGTACCCTTCACTTAGTTTGACTGTAAATATCTCTCTGTTAACTCCTTAGCAAAATCGTGTTAACTTCTGGGTATCATTGCAAGCTCATTGCATGCAAATTATAGAGAAAATCTAATGACTAGATTTTCTACAAATAAACAAAACCAATTTTAATTGCCTGTTTGTACTTATTCGTGTTGACATGGCAATGACACATATGTCACCTTAACTATCAAAAAACCAAAGTTCACATTGTTAACTTGCTCGCTCCCATTTTTGGTGACTGTGGGATCAAGGATTTTAGAGAAAAAGGTAAGTGAAGCAGGTATCAAAAACTGTGTTCAGACACCTTAACCCCGTATGACTATATCGATGTTACTAAGAGATGCGTCAGTTGATAACAATCCAGACAATCGATGACAAATAATCTTGGTCTCAGCATATCAAATTAACTTGCACCAGACGTATCACTTGTCTTCCCTAAACTTCTCTCCTAGAACAAATATCAAAAACAGAGACTGTTCAAAGCATTCTGAGTAATGTATGAACAGTTCTCGAGCTCCGCAGGGACATTTACTATAAAACAATTTTCCTTACTGTTCAATTGTCATCATCGATTAAATTCGTTTAAAGTACACAAGTCATTTTCTGTTTCATCCTTGCCGGAAACTGGTAAAAAAAGGCGTGAATGCGAAGAAGAAGCACGGGGAGATAGAATTAAATCTAAAAGAGCATTAAAATAAACACTTTTCGTCCCTAGAGTTTATAACTCATTCGCTCGACAGCGGCAGCAGCAGCGTGAACGATAGGGCTGCATCCGGTTTACATCAAATTCGTCGGCTTATGCAAGATTAAAAACAAACCTTACCTTTTTGTGAGTCCACTGAGAATAGCACTCCTTTTAAAAGACCTCACCCATGAACACTGCTGAAGTCAGGATAGACAGAAAAACCAATACCTAACAGTCCTAACTGCACGATGCAAACTTTCATGACCTTTGGCATTGAAAAACGTGATGCTTAGTAAACGCGTAGTGCGTGAATTGCGACAAGCTCAGTCCCATGTCACATAGATGTCTGTCTACTTCGTTGTAAAATGTAATCTACCTTATTGCATAGCTTATGGTAGCTTTAGATGATGGTTAGAAAGCTCTGGAGAATGATATTGAAA